CAAAGAGCACCTGACAGGTTAGCAGGTTCTGTCGCTTCGTTCGGCACATGCTTCGCACCTTCTGAGTGTAAAATGATGATACAAGACCAACGTGGGGGACGGATCAACGGAGACACTCGCAGGTATTTCCAAGGCTCGAGCAGCGTATGCAGGACTTGAACACCTGTGGCGGCGACCTGACGTTTGAAAAGTCGCGTGTACTGCGTTACTGTACGATCTATTTCATCGTGCGGTGGTGAAACCTTGAACTTGTGGGTAGAAGACATCGCATCGAATCCAGCTCAATAGGCTTCGTTGGTTAGGACACGCTTTGCGCATGTCCGACGATCGCCTACCGCGGCGCGCCTTATTCGCAGTGGCTGTTGCAGGCTGGAAAAAGCCGCGTGGAGGTCAACAGATGACATGGAAGCGAGGCATGAAGAAATGCACAGAGCGAATAGGTAGAGTAGGTGTCTCTCGGCTTCCGGGTTGGGGTTTAAGACACTGAGGGTCATGGCTGCGAACCGACAGAAATGGCGATCTTGCTATCACTTCTTATTAGACCAAAATGTTCGAAATAGTATGTAAGTGCAGCTGAACTGCGTACTCAAATTGTTGACCTTGGAGGTTTTCTTTCTTCCTCGGTCCCTAAAAATAGATCCAATTCCTGTCCTCCCTACACATTATCACTGACCTAGTGTGCAATATGAGTTTGGCAGCGATCAGTGAAGCTGGCTTTACTGTAATACGCTGTAAAATGATGAGTTCAATGTTGTTTACATACTCTAGATCAGACAGTTTGCCATCTGGAAGCAAATAGGAAAGGAGAAAGAGGGCAACCCTGATGAACACCGCTTCCCATGGTGAACTCAGACTCGACTTTGGCTATTAGTACAAAGGGGTCGTAATACTTTTCGGACACACGCTTGAGACAGACGCAGTGCAAGAGTTTAGAGTGACCGACTGAGTCGAAACCCGCTTTCAGATACAGGAAGGCAGGTTATACGAAAAGAATGCGGTACTCCAGAAGATAAAAGCCCAACGTGACCTACGTGGCCAAGCTCTATATCTGGTCAAAGGTTTGATACCCTTATACCAGGTTTTAGTTTATCCTCCCTTGACTTTTTCTATTCACCATCTGCCTCGGCAGACATCGCATTGAAAATTTACTCGGTAACATGCGTCAAACATGCCTCTCCACCCTCGTGCCCTGCTAAAGGACAGACGGAAATCATTCACGGATTCGGGACCCCGCGTCGAATTCGCAAACCCCAGAACTTCCCGATGATGTACGTAAAAACCATCTATCAACCCAAACATATTTCTCCCACGCGGAGTGGCACCATCTTGAGTAAACAGCTTTTCACCATTACACATCTGAACAACAGACAAGGTGAACCTCATGGTAGCGTAGACAGGCTGTTCGGTGGTGGAAACCGGCAACCTCAAACTCGGTACTTAGAGTGGCGAACCACACAAGGTCGCGCTATGTAAGGCGTGGTATTGAACCGGACTACAGCAAAGTTGCTTACCATTAAAGTTGGGTGACGGTCCTCGAACATCGGACCATGGGGTCTAAGAAACGCCGATGGCTGCGATGAAAACTCTTTCAGTAATTTCCAAAAAGCTTCACAAACACCATACTGGATGAGTTGAGTAAAATAGCGGACACCCTACGCATAGCGATTGCTCGCTTACTCGATCTCGTATCTAACGATTCTGACACATCTTACAACCAGATGACCACAAAAGACGAATTGCAATCAGGATGGAAAACGGACTCTAGAAACGAATTCCGACAGAAAAGCCACCTAATTCGGCCAGTCGACCTGGCAGTTTCGAACGAATTACGATTTCCTCTTTGATATGAAGACTATTTTATCGGGGTGTTTGGCACAGTTCAGACTGAAGCGACCGAAATACAACACAACTACGAATTTATACTACTTATTTATATTAATTTATTTGTATATTTGGTATTCGTTACGCATGCAGGTAATTGTTCATGTATTAGGAAAAACAGGAAGTTCACTTGAACTGGTATGGTGTACTCGTCTTACCGCTGATTCAACGATGTGCCGGCGGTCGCAGCCGACGGGCGAACACCTTTGTTGGAATCGTCGAAACCCTGAACTGCGGGTGCGGGCATTGAAGCGCGCATTGGCTTTGACTGCATGTTAACAACTGGGTGAGATGGTTGTTTGGAAACCATCTGGGCCCAACTACGCGGCTGTTGTGGTGCAGGTTGGGTGGGTTCAACGCTTGAAGGCGCTTGAGTTACTGCTTGCTGAACAGCTGGTGATTGTGGAGACGGAGCCGGCTCACGTGGAGGCTCCTCATCTCGAGTTTCTACTTCGTCTCTGTGAGGCGTTTCGGTTTCAACTGGTGGTGCGGTAGGCTTCGTGTATGCTGCTTCTTGTTGTACAGGGGCCTCCCACGTAGGCACATTAGCCTAATACAGTATTAGACCTATTTATTGGACTCACTTCCGTATCACCGTTAGTTGTTCGAGGTTTATGAGCTCCACCAGATTGGAAATCAACCGGAGCATCCGAAACATTTGTTATCGGTTCAGCTGAATACAAATGATAACGGTTCATGAGATATACCTTCCGTGGGAACGTTTTCCGCCTTCACATCACCATAAACATGGTCTTGATACCGAAATATATCATTAAGCACGTAGAAGTCATACGGCGCCTGCTCACACAAAACAAAACTTTGCATGAATCGACGAAACTCCGAGCCACCAAAGCTGACTTCACCAGAAACCTGAGAATAAATTTGTGGTTGAAATTTCTTCTAAAGCGGATGGATTACCTGAATAAGAACACTATTTCCATTTGCTCTAAGAGCATCAAGCCGCAAAATGCCCACACGGGAGTTGCCAATATTCATACTCATTATTTTCTCATGAATCATTTTTTGACCGAAAACTGTAGCATTTTCGCGTATCATGGCGGAGTCATCTTTGTAGAACCGATGTAATCCGGAGGGACATTTACGCATAACTGTATAATACTGTACAACGAATTCACCGGCGAGGTTCAAGACCTCGGATGGGTCCATACGGCTCACGATGAAACCGCCTGGCATGGCCGAATTGTTGTCACCAGCCACCATGTCGGAGGGCGCGCGCTGTGGCGTAAGGTTTTGCACTGCCCGCCCTTAGGTGTTGCGAGATGTACTAGAGGAACACTTCTTTTTCGAGTAGTGGACCATAAGCATGTGGACTTTTCACATTCGTTGACACGCTTGATTTTGTTTTAATGATCACTAAAGTCGCCATTGCGCACACTGTCGGTTGAAATCATGTCCGCTGTTATACGTATCCGGGGTTTGCCGTATTCTGCGAGGGCTGACGATATAATTGATTTCTTTAAAGGTATGTCTTCTTCTTTTTTCGAGTTTATTTGCAGATGTAAAAATTAAAGATGGAAAAAGGGGGGTTTTTTTCCCCCAGGGCCCCAATGGACGGTCTAACGGTGAGGCGTTCATAGAGTTGGAATCGCCACAAGAAGTGGACAAAGCCACTGCACACCACAATGAGCATATGGGCCGTCGTTATATTGAAGGTAGCATTACTTTCTTTTGCACACTTTTGCGTAGTATTTCAATCTAGCAAGCAAGAAATGAACAGTGCCATGGGGAGAAACCAAAATTCATTCAATCGTCGCGAGTACGTCGTCCGTCTGCGTGGTCTTCCCTATGACACGGAAAAGAAAGAGATTTATGCTTTCTTCAACGGTAAGAAGTGTGTGCTACTGTGTTCCATTGAGTTGTCATCACCATCGTTTAGGAGGCTTTTAATACTCGGTTCATTTCTAGTCGTTCGATCTATCTCTCATGAAGTGTGAAGTTTGTTCCCAAGAGTTATTATCCCATCTACTAGTGCCAGTCGGTTTATAATGACCACATGAAGTTATTGTGGGCTGTCCCTCTTCTGGATGGGACTCCGCATCTTGCGTTGACTGCGGTCAACTACCCGTCAGGTGTATGTTCTCTGCCTTCAGCGATCAGTAGTCCATGAGTGCGTTCTTGTTTACAAGGAATAGTGGTGCTTGTTACTAAGATTGTCAACTCCGTCCGAGTGGGCGTAAGCTGGTTTGGTTCTTTGACGAACTTTCTAACTTCGATGAATTCGGAGTTAAGGGAAGCGGTTTACATCAGCGATGCTCTGTATGCGGTGGCTGTTCATTCTAATGGATACTGTTTAGTTTACACAATTTCACTGCTTGTAGCGTAGACGTAAGTTCGTAGGTCAGTCAGATGCTCTTCGTAGTACACTGTTTGATTCAGGTAGGAGATTGTTGGGTTTAGAGTTGTTACTGTTGTTCTTAGGAATCCTTATTGTCTTATTAATAACTTGGTTTTCTCTGTTCCGTTCTTTCCCCTCGGGCACAATCATCTGGGTTTTCCAGGTCTCGAAATAGCTCCAAACGGTATCGGGCTACTGGTGGATCACATGGGACGCTGCACTGGGGAGGCGTATGTTCAATTCACGTCAGCGGAAATGCTAGCGCGGGCGAAGGAGAAGCATATGGAGAAGATAGGGCACAGGTGGTTATTCCCCGGGAATTTAACGGGAGGTTTGGGTATTCGTGTTTGTTTTCATCTCATTAAGCAAGTGCTTTTGTTTGTCTAACAAGTTAGATGGAATCGTTGGATTATTTTGTTAGTCTGTGCGGTGTTTATCGGAAATAGACAGGAAACGAATGTCCTGCCGCATCAACTGCACCAAGGAATTGCCTTGTTCAGTCTGTCTGTTGTATGCCGATCTTCGGGACGTGCTCGTACGAGGGTTCCGTGGTAGTTGCTTTTGTATTCGGATTTGGCTTACAGTCAGACTTCCGGTTGGTCACGTACCCATTTGGGAGGGACGCCCTGGGATCTCCGTGCGGCGTGCTCCGACGGGTTGTTTCTGTGATGTGCATGGATTTTCATTGTTCCTAGCGATCCTTACACACCAAAGGCAAATGCATGTATTGTAAACAGGCTATTCTTTTTCAAGTTTACTCCTAGCTCTCCGTTATGTTCTTCTCATTTCGTGCCTTTGAATGCCGATTCTCGTAGGTACATCGAAATTTTTGAAAGCAGTATGATGGAAGCTAACGCCACAATCCAGCGGCAGATGGAAGCCAATCGTAAGTTGCACTTTGCGATGATCAATTCTCTGTAGAAAGTCGCAGTGGAGGTGGACCGATTACTAGTCGTGGTGCTCGCGACGGTTATCCCGGAGGTTACTATGGTGCTCCCAAGGGATCCTACGGTCCTCCACCAGGCATGGGTCCCGCTTATGGTCGAGGGCCCCCACCCGGTCGACCCGGCCCTTATGCTCGTCCTCCGGCCTCTGGTCATCCAGGCTACAACTCTCCAAGAGGCATGAACGGGCCATATGGCATGTCTGGTGGCAGCGACGCTGGGTTCGGTCCTATGTCAAACCCAGAACCCGAAGACCCTCAAAGTGTTACTGGTCATTCAGTTCGGATGCGGGGTCTGCCGTTTTCCGCAACGACCGATGATATTGATCGGTTTTTGGCTCCACTGCAGCCGGTCAACATACGTATAAGAATGAACTCCGTATGTCCTGTATTTTCCTAATCTATTTCCGCTTAAGTCTGGCAGACCTACCGGTGAGGCTGTTGTTGACTTCGCTAGTCATGATGAAGCGAAGGAGGCTATGAAGAAAGATCGTGAAAAGATTGGTTCCCGTTACATTGAGTTATTCCTCGCTTCGACTCCAATGGGGAATGGTCCATCCAGAATGGTATGTTCTTTCCGGAATTATTCACTTTTGCAGGGTGGTGGCCCTTCACCTTATAGTGGTGGTCCTCGTTCTTATGGGCCCCCGGGAACCCCTCCGTACAACAGTGTCGGTCGGGGGCCAATTAATGACCCATACAATGGCGATTATGGCCTGCGCGGCCCCGAAGACATGGGATATGGACCTATGTATGGCGGGGACTACGGCCCAGACGGGTATTACAGTAGCGCCAACAGTATGCGACCAATGGGTCCTTCTGGAGATGGATATGCGGATTACCGACCGCCCTACCGTCACTGGTAGATTTTATGTCCGTGTTTGCATTTCAATACGATAAATGTTTCTATCATTATTGACTGTTTTTCCTTGACGGAGTTACCGTTAGAGTTGTTGGACGGGTCTCATAGGGGTCAAAGACGGTCAGGGATTATTGTGCACTGGCCATCCTGTTGCCTAAGTTATGTCCGCGTTGCATTTCGGGGCTCATCTTAGGTCGCCACTTGTTTTGATAACCCTTCTCCCCAGTGTAATTTTTTATTTCATCATTGTACAGGGAAGCGAACTTCGCTGATCGCTGCCAAACTCGCAATGCATACAAGGTTAGTGGTGAAATTTAAAGTTGACAGGGATTGGATGTTTTGAGGGTGGGAAAAGATGGTCCACTACGGTCAGCACGCTACACAATCGAACTCTGCATACATACATTCAAGCATTCTGACTTGATAAACGACAACAAGAACGCCGGTTCGCTGCCATGTCCTTCAACGTCTCCAACCATTGAAGGCGGGAAAAGTCCCTTGGTCACTAGGGCTTGCTGTTCAGTGACCTAAGGCCCCTCTACGTTAGTGGCGTTCCGGTGGTTGGTATCTTGTTCCCAACCCCCATTGTTGCCAGTCCGGAATTTCCTCTCGAGCGACGTCTGCGAACCCGAAGCACCATACGGCCACCTGCCCGATGCTTCCGTTTATCTGACATCCGAGGTTATTCCATTTGTATGTCCGCTTCGTGCAAGTAGCCATAACCGCCGAATGCGCTCTCTGATCCGTGGTGTCTTGTCGGGATCGCGAATCAAGTTATTTGGCCGGATTCTGACTAATTTCACCGAGCCTTGGGCTGAATGCTCTGCTTATGCCGCAAAAGTGCAGCCGTAGTTCTCGTTGGTCTAGAAGTAGGCCACGACTTACCTCTGTTCTTCAAGGTGGTCCTCCGAAACAAACTGCCCTTCGGATTTAGTAGGGACCATCAATCCATTAAGACCGACCGTAGCATAACCTAGAGTCACACCTGTCTGATCTCGCTAAAGTTTTATTGAAGTTTATCGTTGTTGAGCCGGTATGTCAGCGGAGGTTGGTCTTGGCGTGCACTTTTCGGATTTTAAAGCTCTTAGGCGAGTGCCTTATGGCTTCAAAAGGAAGTTATGCTGCATGATCAAATTCCGCCTTTATTTTTGTAAGTTTGGTGGTTCTCGTTGCTTTTTGGGCTTCAGTAATTGGTGGATAACTGTAGGTAGGTCATCGAAAGACGACGATGCTCATGCGACATACAGAGGATAAAATTCATCGAGTAATGGTGGGAGTTGAACACGTCCTCCGAGGCGACAATTTGGTGACGTTACCGCACCGTCGAGTTAGAAAAACGCTTTGTTCCTTAACAAGGCGGAAAACCACTGATGAATAATGTGAATCAGAGATCTTGAGGCTTTGAAATGGGATAGGTTCTCTTGTTAAGCCCACGGATATATATATATATATGGCATCTTTTCAGGTCCACTATATTTTAAATCACTTTGGTCAACCTTTCTGAACTGATGAATGTGAATGTAATTTCTAGACTATCCTGATTTACGCTCTCTCGGAGTTTGCATCTGAGACGTAAAGCGAAATGTTATTACCTAGTCCTATCACCGTAAGCGCAGAAAGGACTGATTAAAGAATGGATAGCTTTACCTTCGCTGTCCTCCAATTAGTTTTTCAGAGTGGATATTTGAAGAGACGCGCTGATATTTCCCTACTTACTACTGAGTGTAGGACGGCCACTTTGAATCCAGGAAACTAACTCTTGATAAAAAAAAATGGAATTTACTGACTGGATTAATCAGAAATGGAATGCTTGGACTGAAGGTATATTCGATCGTCAGAAACATCGCTGATATGCTTTTGTTTTCACCCAATCTCTACACCTGCTGTAGCCCCATTCCGGAGCTTCAGTTTGATATTAACGACAGGTTTTTTTCAATTTTCATTGATCGATTAGATGAGTTGCCAAAGGACAGCGACCAAAACCGGCGCACGAAAGTTCATGGTTGATGGTTGTAAAAACTGAACTGAACTTATTTTACACTTGGACAAAACAAAATTGACCTTTGCAATCGAATATCAACGTTTCCTGGCAGTTGCAGATTTGACAGTCCAACCAGCGTAGTTTGTTGTATTTAGCCTACTTCCCCTCACATGCGCACACATGGTCTCCATGAGATCACCCATCAAGTATAATGAGAGTATAGTATATTGGCATCCCCACTACCACTCGACCTTCGAGGACGCACCTCTAACCCTAGTTACAACTTCAGAACAACAGGCTAATGTCGACGAACCTATTGAGTAGCCGACCATGTCCGCACGCGTCAAAATGCGTTAAACTATCCTGTTCCAGGGAATGCTTACGAGGTGAAAACCACGTCTCAAGACCGCCGTTCTTCAGCAATTGTTTATTCGGCAAGGTAGTACCTACCTGCTTAGTGCCCTTTCTCCTATCCACGACCTGGAGACGCACCCGGTAGCACAGAAATTCGCTGGCCGTAGACCTGTAGTATCGTACGGACAACATACATTCCGAGTGCTTAAGCTTCTTATTGAGTGTCTCATTGTATAAGCTAGAGAGAAAAATCTCACACTAACCGCCCAACGCTCTCCTCCGTTGACAATCAAATATGTTCAAGGGACTCATCACGGACAACCTAACGCGAGTTCACTATCAAGACGAAATCTGGTGCGCTTTATAAGACGGTCTTTGAGAGAATTAAAGAAATGCTCAATTTTCTTTTCACAAGTTTTCATTCTGAATTCATTTTCTGAGCTTCAACAGTTTCCGTTCCCTAATTTTTCAATCCTGAATGCGTCGACCATGGGTGGATCAGTAGGCTGCACATACCAGCAGTTAGATACATCGCCGAAGTTTTCACTATTTTATTACGATCAGTAAAGAAGTAGACACCTCCATGGTGGACAACGGTGGCAATATTCTCAATATACATTATAAACCAAACTAGATAATCCGTGCCACCTCCGCTTATTTAAAACTCATCAAGCAGCCACTCGGGGTAGATGGACTTTGAGAGAAACCACATGTGATCTGTCAAGTGGGGCCTATCTGTTAATGCTTTCGCGTATCAGCGGTTTTTCCAAGGTGAAGGAAGGAAGGACGATAGAGCTTTTGGATCCGTGGAACAGCTGGATAGCTATCGCAGTGAACTCTAAAACTGTAATTCTGTTTAGAGGCTGTCCCATGGCTCAAGAAGGGCGGAAGACTAGCTAGAACAAAAAAACACTTCCCACCGCACCTCGATTACTGCATGAAGTTTGTTCTTAATGCCGAACAGGAAAACACCGGAATCAGATGAACTCGGTAGGATTACGACAGCTCCACTGAATACGATAACCAAGAACCCATGACGCATTAAAATATAGTAACCATGAGCAAATGCAACTAAAATTTATTAAATTATATTTACAGCGAATAGTCTTCCTCATCATCTGGACTGGCGTATTCTTGTTCACCGTCTGGAACGGAAGTGCACGATAAGATTATCAGCTGAAGTCTATGAAAACCGACTACCAATAATTTCAAACATACCAAACAAAGTTATTCATGCTTACTTACGTAAAGTTGTAAGAAGCACCTCACGTATACAGGCGCGTGAACTTCTTCCGGTCGTGTTCTTAGAATGTTCCCGATAATTGATTACGAATTCCTATTGGTACAATTATTCTGAAATACGATGACTGCCGTTGATTTCAATCAGTGTAGACGGGATTCAATAGCTCATCAATAATGACTTGGTATACGTTGTCACCAACCAAAGCGTTTTTCGTCTATTCCGTACCAGCTGACGTTAACCATCATGGAGTCAGAGAAATGGCAATAGTTAGAATGTAAGAGGGTTCATTTGGTATTGGATTGCCGACTGTTACCCCATCCTCTTTGTGTGAAAAATGATGTTACTGCATACGATGGATTTTTGTGCAGATTGTGATATTTATCTATTTTCAGTCTGCACTTGATCGAGCATCCCTGATTTTCAGCTGTTTTACTTGGCGGTCGAGGTTTGAGACATTTTTGCTCTGATCGACGGAGCACTTTAGAGGCTGTGGGGAAAGAGTAATCGGTAGCCTTTTGGTATTTCTATAGTTTTACGGAAATTAAATGAACAATAGAGGGCCTCTGTTGTCCAGGCACCTTGGAATACCAGCAGGTTAAGCAAAGAGCGGGAACGAGCATGGACGAAGCTGCTGTGAAAGTGTTTGAAGGAGGAAGGGGAG